TGCAAAGGACACAGGCCACTTCTCACTTCCTTTTCAAATGTCCTAGCCCTCCCTAGATGTTCCCATTCCTTTCAGTGGGTGGGTTGTGCCTCTTTTACAATTGATTTTTTTTTTGTCCTTGATAGCTATTAAATGATTTGTCTGCCCAGACCTAAGTTATCGGCTCTATCTGATTCTTAATATTTCTCAGATGACTCCATGGTCTTAGAGAAGAAATTACACTTTACAGTTTCACAGTTTACCAATGATAGCTGCTTTGCAGTAAGAATGTTCATATATAGTAGTATAACACCTTTTTCTCACAGCCTATATTCTGAAAAGTAACCTAGAAAACGTGAAGAAAATTCATGGGTTAGGTGCTCAAGTAGTAATAGTAATAGAATTAATCTATCACTCTCTAAATTTTATTCAAACTAATTTAAACCAGCATGAAGTTTAAAGTCCAGTCATGCTATGAAAACCTTAGAGTACATTCATTGTCAGTCTGACCCAAAATAACCTCAGATGGGTGAAGAGGGTAAAACTGCTAAGAAATAGGCAGTGTACACATTTCCAAAAAGAGCACACACCGTTTATGACAACATAAAGAATTATTTTTTGAAAAAGAAATGCCAAATTTTAAGATACTATAAATCCACTGTAGATAAAAGTATGGTATTATGCATTTGGAAAAATAAAAACAGAAAAACTGAAAAAAAGCAATGAGAGAGGATTAGTGCCACTAAATTCTAAAGCCTCAATAACATAAATAACAGCACAAAATTAAAGGAACAGAATAGAAAAAGTCCATAATCCCAAATACATACAGGAATTTAGTACTATTAGATAAAGCTGGCACCTCAGGTCAATGGAGAAAAAATGAATAATATAAGTAAATAATGTTGGGGAAACTGGGTTACCATCTAAATAAAACTTAAACTTGGATCCATATCATGCATATCTTACACCAGCATAAATTCCAAATGAATTAAACATTTAAGTGTAAAAAATTAAACTAAATTAGAATATGTGGGAGAATTCCTTAATCTCAGTGGTGGTGGCCTTTCAAATCCTCCCTCAAAATACAGAGACCACTAAAGAAAAGACTGATCATTTTAACACGATAAAAATAAAATCTGCACAGCAATAAAAAGTTAAATAGCAAACAGGGAAAAAATATTTTCACATATCCCAGAAAAGGGCTAATGTAATCTAATATAGGAAAACAATGAGTTCCAAAATATGGAGACGAAATAACCCAATATAAAAACAGGCAAAGGATACTGGCAATTCACAGAGAAGGAAATACAAAGAATTCCAACACATGACAAGATGCTCAATCTCATATAATATGAGGAATGCTAAATTAAAACCAAAAAAAAGTCACTGTCATTGGCAAAAATGCAAAATCTTGTTTACACACTATGTTGGCAACACTGTAAAGAAACAAGACACATTGCTGTAGAGTTTAAGCTGTACAGCCCCTATGGAGGGAACTTACACATTGCATATACTCTTTGATTGGGGCAAGTCCACTGACAAATATTTATCCTGCAAATCTATTCACGTACTTGTACCATGATGGACAACACCATTCACTGCAAACCTATTTATAACAGCAAAAGACTGTGAAATCCTAAATAAGCAACAGTGGGAAACTGGTTAAACAAATTGTACACCTAATGCAATGGAATACTATGCAGCTGTAGCAAAAAGACTATTGTAGCCTTCTATTTATTGATCTGGAAAGAACGCCAAGATTTACTAAGTTAAAAAGCAAAGTTCAGAATAATGCAGGCACTATGGTCAGGTGTCCTGGGTTTTGAGTCTCCTGGGTCCAGGCACCAGACAGGTGAGTGAGTGAGCCTTCAGATGATGCCAGCTCCCAGTTGTGGAGTCACGCCCAGCCTTGGGTCTTGGCAGCTGAGGTCATGGGCCAGAGACCAGCCATCCTCGAATTCCTGACCAACAGAATTAGTGAGCACAATAAAATGGTTGTTTTAAGCCACTAATTGGTCGGAAATTGTGTTATGCAGCAATAGTTACTGGAAAACATAATTCGAATTCCAAAATACAAAGTCCTTTACTTCAGGGCACTCCTCGCCCATCCCACCCTCATACCAATGAGGTTGGAAGAGGCCAGGTGACTTCTTCTAGCCAATGAAATGTGAGCAGAAAAGGTATCTGTGCCTGTATTTGTTAGGGTTCTGTCAGGAAAACAGATGCAACACTAGGTACTTATCAGGGATCATTTAATATTGGGCATCATTTTAACAAGCATTAGAGGGCTGAAAAAACAAGCAGGTGACACTGAGGTGACATAGTAACTGCAGGGAAAAGCTGCCACTCTTTGGATTGGGAGGAAAAGCTGTTGAGGTATGAGAACCAACGTTAGAGGAGTTGTCCCAGGAACAGGGAGTCAGACCTCTGGGAGGGGCTGCTGCCTGCCTGCTGCTTGTGGGGCTTCTGTTCGCATACAAAAGAGCTGGAAACTGAGCCAATACTGCTGAGAGGTCACAGGACTATTGCGGGACAACACTGAAAGGAAGATGACCCAACAGGAAGTAGGGAGGGCTTTCTCCCCTGCCCCTGTCCTCCAGCACCCCTATTGACCAGCCTAACGGAGCCGGTGGGCAAAGGAGATGAGCAGTCTGCAGAATCCAAGAAGCGTGGGTTTGGGGCCAAAGGCAATGGCTTAAAGCTGGCACAGTCACTTTCAGGTGGAAGCATTTAAGAGGTAGCCTCCATTTTCTCTCTTTCTCTACCTTGGAGACTATGGGAGCATCTGCTCTTCCAGAGATGCTATACGATCAACGTGGCCTACACCAGTGAGCCACCAAATGGAGATAAACTGCTCTCTGGACGAGATACACTCCAGGGGGCAAGAAATGAATGAGATGTTGAGCCACTGGCCTTTGGAAGCTGTTGGTTCAGAGCATATAACCTCACCTCTCCTCCACGCTGACGACCTGCTCCACCTGCAGACAGAGCCTGTTCACCATGGACAGGCCTCCGCCACGTGCACACGGGCAAGAAGCTGTAGCACAGGCGCAGCCGCCTAGTGAGGTGAAGGCGAGAGGAAAGTGTGCTCACTACGCCCCAGCCCAGCATGTCAGGGTGTCAGAAGGCTCCAGGAGCACCAAAGACAACACTCGCATCCCACTAAGGGGCTTGGGAAATCTTACCTGGAAAAGGTGACGTTTTGGATGCCCCTGAAGAACAAGAGGGTTGGGCTCTTGACAGATAGAGATGAAAGGACAGCTAAGGGCAGGGGCAAAGGCACAGGAGCCAGAAAGCATAAGATTTGACTGAAGAAAAACCTAGATAGGGGACTAGATAGTTTAGATCCAAGGATAGCCTCTTTCTTTTTTTATTATGATTAATAAGAACTAGCAGTTATAGAAGGCTCGCTATGTGCCAGGCACTGAACTAAGGACTTAATGTTTACTGGTTGAAACAACCCAGTGAAGGGGGGGTCCTGAAATAAGCGCCCCTTTTTACAAATGAGAAGTATGAGGCTCAGAGACATTAAGTAACTTGCCCAAGTTCACATACTAAGTGGTGGGCTGTGTCCCTGGAAGCATCTACACTCTTCCTCACTCTCTCCAGGGTCCCTGAGGGAAGTCCCCACATGGACCATGGAGGGACCCCCAAGGGTAAACTTCTTTCTCACCAGTCACATGCCTAATTCTGAGACGCAAGGTTACAGCTACGCAGCCCCCTTACGAGGTAAAAGTAACCACCACCGCCAACTCTGTCCGCCTAGAAGATGAATAGCGGGGTGAGGGGTGCCAAGAAGATGCTCCTTGTTACTTTATGCAAGTATTTGTTAGATGTCTGTGGCCACTGTGGAGCACTCTGACAAGGCTCCATTGAGGTCTGAAGGGCAGGTGACATTTTTCAAAATATGTAGGAAGGGGTGGCTAAAGCAGATTACTGAGAGATAGTACTTAAAGGACTTTTCAGGAGATGTTGCAGTCCAAGCAGTTGCATCATAAACAGTTTTATAGTTTTCCTTTACTTTTATTTTCATCTTCATGGAAATGTTGAAATTTTTGCAATTACAGAGCTAAAGGACTTACGGCTTATAGCTTATGGTCTCTATGACTTTGTGGGAGGCTCAGTGTTCTAAATCTACATGTGGCAGTGTCGAAACATATGTGATCCTGTTACTGATGGGTGCCGGAGATGTCACCAACCACATCACATCACAGCAGAGAGGGCACAGTGAAGGGAGCCCAAGCTGGCCCTAGGGGAGCTGCTGTATCGTGGGAGCCAGGATGGTCATTCCTGAGCAGGGATTTTCAACTGGGGCCAAGAGGGGGGTATAGGAATCTCCAAGAGGGGTTTTTTCCAAGTCCTATACCTCTTCCCAGACACCCCTTACAGGGATTACTCCTTCCACCACCTCCTTGGTAACTGTTGCCACAGTAAGCTGTCTCTCTCTCAAGAGAAACTGGGATCAAGAGAAAATTGCTAACGCAGTAGTAATTGGAATCTGTGCAGCCCACAAAATCTTGCCTGGCTTTTCCCTGCCATATCCCTCCCAAGAGAAACATGGAAAAGCCTGAGGCCCCAGGTAAATGTATCGGTCAGGTCCTGTCCTTGGTCTTCTCTGCTAGGACTTCCCCTTCTGGAGCCAGCTTGCCATCTCTGCATTTTATTAAATTAGGTGCCATTTCCTGGCACCTGGGGTCTAGAGGAGCAACAGGTCTTGCAAATGAGGAAGGGACTGGGTGTGAAGCCCACACAACCACTGTGTAAGTGACCAGGACTGAGGGGGGCATGCAGAGCGGGTGTCTGTCTAAAGGTGGCAGCTGCTTCTCAGCCTAGACTGCCACCGCCTTTGGGGAATGTGACCCCAAAACTGCCAGGTCTTCCCATTTTGCAAGACAAGATGGAAATCTGGAACGCTACATGAAATTCCCCAACTGTAAAAGACCGGCTAAGCCACAGCAAGCACAAGCATAAGTGTCTCTTTTTCTCTTGCTCTTAGACCACAAGCCTCACCTCTGATTGAAATGGACCCCACCTGCTCCTGTTCCACAGGTGGATCCTGCACCTGTGTCAGCTCCTGCAAATGTAAAGACTGCAAATGCACCTTCTGCTGCCCCGTGGGCTGTGCCAAATGTGCCCAGGGCTGCGTCTGCAAAGGAGCATCAGACGAGTGCGGCTGCTGTGCTTGGTGCCGGGAACAGCCTGCTCCCATTGTAAACAGAGCAATGTCTGCAAACCTGCATCTTTAAAATTTTTTCATAAACACTGACCTGATTGCTATGTTCCTTTTGTATGAAATATCTGAATGACAATATACTCATTTAGACTCTTCAGGCAAAAAAAAAAAAAAGATTGGCTGAAATGTTATGAAATGTGCGTCAATTGCTGTGCACACTCACTTGTCAACCTCTGCTTCATACCCTGCTCTTCTGTGGAGAAAAGACTGTAAAACCTATGGAGTTTGTACAAGTTGCAACAGGTACATTGCAACTTATGGATGTATCCTATTGCTCCTTAAAACTTTCCATATCCTACCATTTGTCCACAAAATCTCGTTTCTAGAATAAAGCTGGAAGACACTTTCCTAGCAGAATCCAGGTCCTACCAAGCACTCCTAAAGTTGGTTACTGTGGTTTATAAAGCAAAAGGCCACACACACTGTGGTTATGTACACACACTCAGGAAGCAGACAGCACTTCCACTTACTGGCCACATGACCTGGGATGGCTTCTCTGTACTTTGGTGTTCTCATCTATAAAATGGATGTACTCAAAGGACCCACCTCATAACACTGCTATTGAAGTCTGTACGAGTTAACACATGCAAATACTTAGAACAGCACCTTGCACACAGCAAGTGTTAGCTTTATTTTTATTCAGGACATCCCAGCCTGCCCAAGGCCAACCTGTGAGACCTGTAGCCAGGAGCCAAAGGCCTACTGATGACACCAACCTCTTGCTTCCAGGGACACAGAGCCATAGCCAGGCCAGATCTAGACTCACTCTTGCCCCACACAGGCACCAGGTGGAGAGGTGCTCATAAGGTGGAGGAGAGCAGTGTCCACATACCTAAGTCTACTGAGAATGTTATTTATTTCCTCTCATCAGGTGAAGTATGAAGTCAGTAAGCTGGTGAGTGACCTTAGAAGTACAAAGTAGAAAGCAGATGTAGTCATTCACCATTATTTGGTTCTATTTCTTCCTAAAACATCAAATGCCGAGCCATTATAAGGGTTCAGATCTGCCTTATGAGCCAAGTCCTACCTGAGCTGCAATGTACCATACTTAGAAAAAGCCTGCAGTGAGTCCATCTGTCCGTATCAGTATTCTACCTCCAACTAGGTTACCAAAGAACACTTACTGAGCACCCACTGGAATCAGAGTACTGTTTTCAACTGCTGGGAATTATAAAGAACAAAAGCTTATTCATTCCCTGAGTTAACAAATATTTATTAAATTCTCATTTTGTACCAGGCACTAGGGAAAGAGCATGGGATACAACAGATTAAAGCCCTGCCTTCCAGAGCACATGATTTCGGGAGATGGGGGGGGG